CAAGGAGACTAAGTTCTACATTGATGTGCTTGAAGTCCCTCCACACGGTTCTTCTGGGGCCCTTCACAGTCACTGTGCATCCCTTCAGACCCATGTCGACATTCTCTGGAATGTCTTGTCAACAATCTGGTTGCTGAGAATGGTTTTCATTATCTTGGTAGAAGTGGAAAAGAAGTCACATCTGTTTTGTTTTGTTTGAAAAGAAACTTTGTTTCAAAGTCTTCAAACAACCAAGATGACCTGGTAGCTGAGGTTTATATGTTGGTCTTTTTCAGTGTGTTAATATTTAATGAATAGTAGCATTCCTTTTTATTATATCATTTTGTAGCATACAGTGTGAAACAGTCTTTTTTATGCTCATTTTTTAAGCTTTTATTGTGCATTGAGTGAGTGAGACTTACAGGGCATATCATCAATTTTTCATTTAGCAAATCATTGTAATGATTACAGTCCCCTCCATGCACTGTCAGCCAACAGTATTTTGCCTATATTACCTTTTTTTTGATGTACACACACCACATTGAAAATACATATTCATTTAAATGTCTAAAGGACACATTTTGCAAGCTAGGCACAGTGCCCTTCTCAGTCTATGGGCATATATAGTCCTCTGCTGCTGTATCTCTCTATACCATCACCTCTGCCACAATCTCTGTTGTCTCTGCTTTTCTGGTTAGGATCCCTCACTCCTCTCATGTTTGCCCCTTCTGATGGTCCTAGGGTCCTCTGTTTGTGAAATGACAGATTAACTGCTCCCCCCTTTTATTTGCACCTCTTCTACATTTACAGTTGTGACAATCACCATTAGACCAGATAATACTCACAATTTAATCATAAAGTCCTATTCCTCTCATCTGGGCAAAAGGAAAAACTATCCAGTAGGGTTTCTGTTTCTGTCTGACTCTCCTCATTGTAACAACACTAAGCACCCTCATGAAAGATTGAAAGTCAGCCACTTTTGTGCCTTTGTACTCTCCAGGACACCCCCCTTCTCCCCCAACTAAACACATTTGTTTTTGAAGAAGTACAGCCAGAAGGCATCTTAGAAGTGAGGATGGCAACACTTCATCTACAGATTTGGATAATTTCATCAGGTTCTTTTCTCCTTGTGAGAATGACATGTTTGGTAAGGTAGAGAGTCAGCAAAGCAGAGGAAGAGCCTCTGTGACATAGATTGACAAAGTGACTACGGTAATGGGGTCAAGCATAATAACACTCATTTTTGGAAATTTTTTAATTAATAGGAATAGGATAATATACATTTATACAATACTATAACTAAACTTATTGCCATCTAGTACTCAATCCTGTCGGATAGAGTCCTGCCACCATAGGGCGGCTAAGGCTGTAGTTTTTATGGAAGCAGATTGCCACGTCTTTCTTCTGTGTATCAACTGGTGGATTTGAACCACCAACTTTTTGGTTAGCAGTCAAGCGTTTAAATGCTGCCTCACCACAGCTGTTTCTATATGATATAACCAAACCCACTACCATCGAGTTGCTTCTGACTCCTAGGGACCTTGTAGAACAGAGTAACTGCTTGCTCTCCTTACAGTGTTCCAGACTGTAGATCTTCATGGGAGCAGACAGCCTCTTCTTTCTTCTGCTGTATATGGTATTGCTCCTGTTAAGTATCGTTGAGTCCGTTCTGACTCAATTCCAATTCATAGCAATCCTGTATGGGATTTTGAGGAACAGCTGGTAGGTCCCGTGACCTTGCTGTTGACAGTCCAGTGTTTATCCTGTAGTGCCACACTAGGATTCCATGTATGATATAGTTATGTTGTTGTTGTTGTTAAGTGCCATCGAGTCGATTCTGACCCATAGTGACCCTGTATAGAGTTTCTAAGGAGCAGCTGGTGAGCTTGAACCACCGGCCTTGTAGTTCAAATGACTTTGTAGTCTGATGCATTAGCCCACAGCGCCACACCATGACATAGGTGACTAAAATGTATACAGGAAAGTTTGGAAATAATTTTTATATCTTAAAGACTTGCAAGATAATGTCTCTTGTAATATATTTTGAGAATTTTTTACTCCATTATTATGTTGAATTAGTGCTGTTAAGTGCCATCCAGTCAGTTCTGACTGTTAGTCATCCTCTGTACGGTGTTTCTGAGGAGCATCTGGTGTGTTTGAACCACCAAACTTGTGGTTAGTAGTCCAGTACTTGTCTTACAGCACCACACCAGAATTCTATTATGTTGAATCGTTGTTGTTAAGTGCTGTTGAGTCAGTTCCGAACCATAGCTACCCTTTATAGGATTTCCGAGGAGCAGCTGGTGAGCTTGAATCTCCGACTTTGTCCAGCACATTAACCTACAGCACCAGGAGTAGAAGCAGTGGAAGTGGAGCACACTTACCTTGTTTCTCAACATGGGACAATGTCCAGTTTTTCACCACTAAATCTTATGTAACTGGAGGTTTTCATAGATGCCTTGATCAGGTTGAGAATGTTTTCTTCTAGTTTTAGTTTGCTGCAATTTCTTACCAGGAATGGATGTTAGATTTTATCAAGTTCTTTTTCTGCATCTATTGATGATTGTATGTTTGTTTTTTTTAAAAAAAGAAATGTTAATATTTCAAGTTACCTGGAATAATTTTCAAAGTTTAAATTCCTTGACTAAGTCCTACGTACTCATGATATATTGCTGTATTTTTATGCAAATAATGAGTGCCTTCTGAGTATATTTTCCAGTAGTTCCTCCTACCTGGAGGTAGTATAGTAAGCGCCATTATGCCAACACTATTTTTAACATATTGCTGTTAAAAAGAAAACAAAAACACTAATGTCCATTTACAAAAAATGCCTGGGGGGATGGTGGTAGGGGATTGAGTGGAGCAGATGACAAATGAATGCAGAGGTGTTTTTTCGTTATGTGAAGATACTGTAACCTTTTCATATATGCTGGCTGGATTCAGTTTACTAATATTTTCTTGTATTTTCTGTCAGTGTTTATGAGATGTTGGTTTATCGTTTTATTTTCTGGTAATGTCTGTGTCTGGTGTTATCAGTATAATGTTGGATTCAAAGAATGAGTTGGGAAAGACCTCCTCTTCAATTTTCTGACATTTTGTGTACATAATTGGTTAGCATTTCTTTCCAGTGTATGGTAGAATTCACCAGTGACACCATCTGGGTCGGAAAGCTCTTTAGTTACAATTTCAATTTTTCAAAAGACTCACTGTATTATTCAAAATATTTTTATTTTAGCCAGAATAAGTTTTGTATTAAAGAAATTTAAGTAAAATTATTTTTAAAGGTCACATGTTTAGATGTTTTGAACAGAAGATTCATTGCCTTTCAACTGTTTAAAACACTTAAACCCTAGTTTCTCAAATTGTTACTATGATTTACATTGTAATTTAAAATTTTACTGTGTTATTTGTAGTTTCTAGAGAAAAATAAATCAGTCAGCTTTTTTAAGTCTGTAATTGAACTTTTCAACTTTGGTAAAGAGTATGACTTCTGAAAGTAACTTAGTACATTTACTTCTGTGTCTTTCCACAGGATTTGAGTCCCACCATGGCCATCACACAATTCCGCTTATTTAAAGTTTGCACCTGCCTAGCGACAGTATTCTCATTTCTAAAGAGATTGATATGCAGGTAAACACATTTGTGTTCACAATGACCTGTTTATTTCTATCTGGTTTTAGATATATTTATAGCTACAAAAAGTCAGGACTGATTATATTATATTTAAGCTAAATATCTTGATTGTAGTTTGTATTCATTTATCACTTTTACTATTTTTCATATATTTTATGTAGAAAAATCTGGAAAGTAGAAGTTTTGATCTTTTTGTTATTTCAAATTCTTTTATCTCCTATTAAAATAACATGCTTAATATTAGAGACTGTCAGGAGTACATAAATCAACTTTCATGATTATAATAAACACAGGGCTTCTATGTACCTAACCTGATTGTTTTATTATCAGATTGTTTTATTAAGGTGGTCAGGTAGGCATAGATAGGTATTTCTTTATATATTACAATGTTATCTTTATATTAAAAATAATTATGTTGAAAAAGAGCAAAACTGTTTAACAGAGAAATTTCAAACAAAATAGATATTTTATGTCTCTTAAATGACATTCTAGAGTATGCATGTAGTCCATGGCAGGGTAAGTTGTTTTGTTTCAGTAGGTCACCCAAAGACCAAAATTCCTTTTATCTTGTAGCAGTACCATACCCTAGAGCTAGAGTTCCTAAGCTGTGAACAAGTACAACAGACTCATAAAGGTACCACAGGTGATTTTCACCAAATTTCCAGCAAAACTGTGATGGTGATAGTCAGCATCTTTTGAACACTGTACAGACTCCAAGCTGAGAATAGTTCACACAACATTCTTTCTGATGATGTTCTTGAATGCTTGATATTAACTTTTTGTTTATTTTTACTTTTGATGACATTGTATCTCTGCAAAGCTAGGCTTTTTAATGGTTGCTGTAATTGAAACTGAACACTGTGTCAAAATAGATGTGGGACAGGAAATGAGGGTGGCAGTGTTCGTTTTGATTCCAAGGTTTGAGAAGTTGTGCAGTGCCCAACAGGCACACACTCTCCAAAAGTCAGTAATTATGTTTAAGAATGAAACAAAGATTTACCTTTTACTTTCAATATATGTGTATTGTTTATGTATGGGGGCGGGGGCGCTTGAAAAAGTTCATTGAAAAATTCCTATCTTTTAATTCCATTTTTCCACAAACTTTTTGAAGGCCCTTTGTATATGTATTATTTAAAATTTTTATTTATTATATGTAGTACCTTTATTTGGGAAGTGCAGTGGCTTTGTAGGATAAGCTCTGGGCTGCGAACCACAAGCTGGGTGCTTTGAGCCTACTAGCATCTCTACGGGAGAAAGATGAGGCTTTCTGCTCCCGCAAAGATTTATAGCCTCAGAAATCCTATAAGCGTTGCTATGAATCAGAACTGACTTGATAGCACTTAACATAACAGTGACCTTTATTTACTGTTTTTTTCAATGTATGTATATTGTTTATTCAAATAGCTATTAAGTGTTGGATATTAAGTTTGATGTAATGTTATTTGATATTAAATAAAGTTGTTTGATATTAAGTTGTTTGGCCCTAACTACTGAATCAGTGAAACTGCTAGGTATTGCTTTTGGCCTGGGGGCTCTGTGTAAAATTTATTGGCATACTAAGGTTTGGTTAAAGTCAAAGAGGAAATGAAGGACAGTCTTTTTAAGTAGACATGAGTTAGAAGTTTCACACAATTCTGTTTATAGCCCTATTGACCACAGCTGTGTCATGTAGCCACCTAGCTGCAATGGAAGCTGGGAAATATAATCTATAGCTTAATGTCTCTTTGATGCCTACTAAAACTTCAAGAATTGAGTGGCACTGAATTTATTATTATAAGTGCACTGGTCTGGAACTTAAAAAAAAAAAAAAAAAAGGTCAGGAGTACAACAATGAAAATGGGTAGATGACATACAGTGGACATAATTACTGGAGGTGGCAAAATCAGGTAAGACAGGTAAAGCTTAGGTGGTTCTATGGAAATTACCCAGGAGGAGTGTGGGATTTAGAGTGTTGAAAATCAGTGACATACACAGATCAACAGAATGAGGAAGAATAGCCAGAAATTTATTATAAAAAGGATAAGAATGGTTTTCTAGAAGGTAAGAAGCTAAAAGAAGCAATTATGTTAACAGTGGTGATAAATTATGGGTGGGTAGGATGTTTCTTTTTTTGTATCCGTATTTTTGTTACAATGAATATAGATTACTTTTAGAATTAGAAATTACATTTCATTTAAAATATTCAAGCAATTTCTGTTGTTACTGTATATTTCTATTGGCAATGTCAATGTCAATATATTTAGGATTGATTATACATTCAATTTTAAATTGACCTTTTGTTTGGTAAAGTTTCCTCTTAGGTATCAAAAGGAATCTATTCTGTGTTCTAAAATGCCAAACTTAAATCATAAATTTGAGAGTAGCTTATGTTACTTTGCTATTTATCTTTTAAACAAATTTTGACTTCTTATAGTAAACATAGTTTGCTTTATCAATTAACTCTTAATTAGATTCTTTTTAGATTTTTATCTAAATGTGGTTTTTGAATTTCAGCCTCATTTATATTCATTCAATATCCAAAATGTTCTTTGATCATATTTGCATAATAAAGGTATGAGTATTTGCCAAGTAGTCATGGATCAAGTTTGGTAGTACCCTGTTGTTGTTGTCATATCTATTCTAACTCATACCTACCCTGTGGACAACATAATGAAATTTCCCAGTCCTGTGCCATCCTCACAGTTGTTACATGTGAGTTCATTGCTTCTGCCACTGTGCCAGTCTATCTCATTGGGGGTGTTTCTCTTTTTCCCTGACCCTTCACTTTGTTGTTGTTGTTGTTGTTAAATACCATCGAGTCAGTTCCAACTCACAGCAATATTGTATAGGGTTTTCGAGAAGCGTCTGTTGAGCTTGAACCTGCTCACTTTGTGGTTCACACCGACCTTGTGGTCCAGTGCTTATCCTACAGCACCACAGCAGGACTCCTTATTGAGCATAATGTCCTTTTCCAGGGACTGGTCCCTCCTGATACTGTGTCCAAAGTATGAGAGACAAAGTCTTGTCATCCTGGCTTCTTAGGAGCATTCTGGCTGTACTTCTTCCAACATAGATTTGTTTGTTCTTCATGCAGTCCATGGTACTTTCAATATTCCATAACTCAAATACATCAGTAATTCTCTGGTCTTCCTTTTCCACTGTCCAAATTTCATATGCATATAGACTGTTGAAGACACCATGACTTGGGTTAGGCACACCTTAGTCCTCAAACTGCTGTCTTTACTCTTGAATACTATAAAGAGGTCTTGTGCAGCAGATTTGCATAATGCAATGCGTTGTTGACTTCTTTGCTGCTTCTCTGACTATAAATTGTGAATGCCAACAAAATGAAGTCTTTGACAACTTCAGTCTTTTCTGCATTTATCATGATGCTATTGGTCCAATTGTGAGGATTTTGTTTTCTTGATATTGATGTGCAATCCATACTGAAGGCTTTCTTTGATCTTCATCAGTAAGTATCTTAAGTCTCTTGGCTTTCAGCAAGCAAAGTTGCATCATTTGCATATTACAGCCTGTTAATGAGTTTTTCTCCAATCTTGATGCTACATTCTTCTTCATATAATCCAGTTTCTCAGATTATTTGCTCAACATACACACTGAATAAGTATGGTGAAGGGATACAACCTTGGCGCACACCTTCCTAATTTAAACCATTGAGTGTCCCTTGCTCTTTGAACGATTGCCTCTTGGTTTATGTATAGACTCCTCATGAGCACAATCTAGTCTTCTGGAACAGCTATTCTTTGCAGTGTTATCCATAACTTGTCGTGAGCTACACAATTGAAAGCCTTTGCATAGTTAATAAAGCACAGACAAACATCTCTCTGGTATTCTGTGCTTTCAGCCAAGATCCATCTGACATCAGCAATGATATCACTAATTCCACATTCTCTTCTGAATCGAGCTTGAGTTTCTGGTAGGTCCCTGTTAGTGTTCAGTTGTAGCCATTTTTTAATTATCTTCAATAAAATATGAATTGCATGTGATATTGTTTGATAATTATCCCATTCCATTGGGTCCCCTTTCTTTGGAATGAGCAATATGTGGATATCTTCCAATTAGTTAGTTAGATAGCTGTGTTCCAAATTTCTTGGTATAGATGAGTGAGCGTCTCCAGTGCTGCATCAATTTGTTGAAAGATTTCAATTTGTATTCTGTCAATTCCTGCTTTTTACCAAGACTTTCAGTGCAGTTGGGACTTCTTCCTTCGATACCATCAGTTCTTGATCATATGCTACCTCTTGAAATGGTTGAACATCTACCATTTCTTTTGATACAGTGACTCTGTGTATACCTTCCATCTTCTTTAGATGCTTTCTGCCCATGGATTCCTTCAAGATTGCAAGCCAAGGCTTGAATTTTTTATTCATGTCTTTCAGCTTGAGAAATGTTGAATTTGTTTTTCCTTTTTGATTTCCTAACTCCAAATCTTTGCACATTTCATTAAAATACTTGGTCTTCTGGAGCTGCCCTTTTTCTGTTCAGCTGTTCTTCCATTTGCTTTAGCATCTCTATGCCGGAGTGAAGTTTCAGAGTCTCTTCTGACATGCATTTTTTTTTGTTTGCTTACTTTATGATGTTCTTGATGTCATCTCACAGCTGTTCTTGTCTTGGGTCACTGGTGTCTAATGCATTAAATCTCTTCTTGAGATGGTTTCTAAATTTTGGTGAAATATATTTAAGGTCATATTTTTGATCTTATGGACTTGTTTTAATTTTCTTCATTACACTAGCATATGAGCAATTGATGGTCTGCTCAACAGTTGGCCCCTTGCTTAGTTTTGTCTGATGTTATGGAGCTTTTCCACCTTCTCTTCCCATAGATGTAGTCAGTTTGATTCTTGTGTATTAAATCTGGTGAAGTTCATGTGTTTAGATGTTTAAAAACAGGTGTTTGCAATGAAGAAGTCATTGAGCTTACAAAATTCTTCCGTGCGATTTCCAGCATCATTTCTATAACCAAGGCCATATTTTCCAACTATTGACCTGTCCTCTTT